GGGACACCCACTTGTCGGAGAGGACCCCGATGAGCCCCGAGCCCACGAGGATCCCGGCCATGTAGATGGACTGGGCCACCTGCCTCAACCGCTTGGACTCGCACACCAGGTCCCACTGCCACCAGGAGAAGACATCTTGAGGGGTTGAGGGCCACCACGGGGCCACCACCCCTCCAAAAATGGGGCTGGGGGAAGGGTCTGGTGACCACCCCTCACCTCGGTGATGATGGTGTGGGTGAAGACGTCGTGGTGGTAGACCCAACCGTCGCGACAAGGTTCGGTGGCCACCCCGCGGTCGGTTGACCCGCTGGAGGGGGTGCCACTGAGGCTCCACGTAACGTCGGCAGCGCTGGAACCCCCCGGGGCCATCGTGGGGGATGGTCACCAGCAACGGGACCTCCCCCGAGGTGGCGTTGGCCAAGGCGGGGCCGGGGCGGCAGTGGTGGTCGGGGACGCCGGCGGTGAAGTTCTGGAGGAGGTTGTGGCTGGCCAACATCAGCAGGGGGAGGGCCAAGGCGGCCACGTAGGTCACCTGGAAACGACCCATCCCCCCCAGGCGGGCCAGGAGCTCCACGAAGGTCATGGTGGGACGAGGGGTGGAGTTGGCTGCAGGACCTGGGGCTGTTGGAAGAGGTGGGGGGAGGAGGATGAAGAGGAGAGGGTTGGAGGATGGACCAAGAGGGGGTTGGAGGGAGGGGCCAAGGGATGGGCCAAGGGGGGTTTTGGGTGGTCAGCGAATGGAGAGATCCAAAGATGGGTCAAGAGATGGACCAAGGGATGGGCCATGGTGGGTTTTGGGTGGTCAATGAATGGAGATCCAAAGATGGGTCAAGAGATGGACCAAGGGATGGGCCAAGGGGGGTTTTGGGTGGTCAGTGAATGGAGAGATCCAAGGGATGGACCAAGGGGGGTTTTGGGTGGTCAATGAATGGAGATCCAAAGATGGGTCAAGGGATGGGGACCAAGGGATGGGCCATGGAAGGTCCGAAGGGTGGTTGGAGTGAGGGGCCAAGGGATGGACCAAGGGATGGACCAGGGGGGGTTTTGGGTGGTCAACGAATGG